TCAGTGAAGTGAGGACAAAGGAAAAAAAAGGACTTCAATAACATATTGTGTTGGAAGTTTGCCGGCATAAGCCGGAGAAACGTGAAGTCACTGCGGTCCTGAGGCTGACGCCCACATGTGGGTGTCAGAGCCCTATCTGAAGAGCAAAACAACATTCTCCACGTGACTTAAATCAGTACAAAGCCACACCTCCCCTGTGGTCACCTTTTTGAGATCCAGCTGTCAGACTGATCTTGATCCGGTTGGAAATGTGTCGCTTTTTGCTTCTTCCATGAAGGGTTAAGCCCATCCATCCTCCAGAAAAAGGAGAGATGTCACCCATGGCTACAGACCCTCCCAGATCTGCAGCTGTGGATTAGCTGCTGTGTGCAGACTCTGGAGTGGGCCAAAACTTTCCACTTTATTGCCCCGCTAACTGTGACAAATATCATGCATCGAATGTCGGGCTATTAGTGCTTGGCCGGACAGCTTACAGCCAAAAACACATGTGACTGATCCTTTGAGAAGACCCTGTGGCTACATCTCAAAATATTGCCAATGTTACAAAGGAAAGGAGTGACAGATGCTTCAGATTGGTCCCAGACCAAAATATTTCCCTCCTTCTTTGAAGACATATTTTCTTCCCTTACGATCCCCCCCCCTCCCTTTCCCATTTAGTGCGCTTTAATAAAGCATCAGCGCAAATTCTCTCAGAGTTCTTTTAGGACTAATGATCGACAACAGATGCAGAGATCCATGGAGGTCTGAACTCCTACAGGGATGCTAACAGTGCTGAGAGTCCGCACGGCAATGCTGCTGGTGAGGAGTCTAAAGATTAAGCCCTCGTAGCTGATTAAAGTTAAAACCTCCTTAATAAAGTTGGTAGACTGACAAGATTATCTATCCCACACAGGCAGAGAATCAGATCCCTGAGCCTGATCAACAGGAAATTAAAGAGCAAGCTCCAACAGACCTCCAACTAAGCAGATCCACCCAGCAGCAGCAGCAAACGGTGACGATCCCTGGAAAGGATATTCTCCCTGGGAAACACTGTCTCAGGTCGGTCCAGTCTGTAGGAAAACAACTGAAGACACTTCCAAAGTTACCGTTCCAAACACTGGGAAAAGTAGCCTCAAGAGGCCGAGGCATTTATCAGGACTCATTTCAATTATGGGTTTGTTTTGCTTTTGAAAATATTCAAGTGAGAGAGCCCCTTAATCTACGGCCTTCGCTCAAACTGTACATCATCCTGATCTCATGGTGAATTCCTAGCTTTATTGTTTTAGAGGCTATGGCAAAGTGTCTCAAATTCCACGGCCATGACTAATATTTGTAGATTAGGCCTTCATTCTCTTTGGGATCTCCAGGTCATCTCTGTTTCCACAGCTGAGCTTAAACATCTAGGAAACTCTTTTACAGATGACATTCTCATCCGTTCGGAGCGGAGGCCGGTGGTAGAATGCAGCTGGAAATCAAAACCACTTATTCGTGACTGAGCCGAAGCCAACCAAAATCATTTCTAAATGAAAAAAAATCATCACCAGAGGGAGGCCCGTATTGAAATTCACGTGCGGTGCGATGCAGTGTTTAATCCAGCAGACACGCCCATACACGAGGACCCAAGGAGACACTTAATCTCCGGGGACTTCACGGCCCTTTAGCCGTGGATAAAGGGCTCTTCGCCCCTTTGAAATGTCCACTGATAGAGTTGCAAATCCCCGTCTGCAGTTTGACATTTCATATTCCTCCAACGTAAATCTAGTGACGCCCTCATCGATTCCACGTATCGATTCGGCCTCACCTCCTGTGGGTGAAATATGGCGCTGCCTGGCCCGGGGAGCCGGCGTGTGCACTTCTGTCCGTGTGGACGTGGACACACACAGTGTGTGTGCAGCGAGGGCGTGGCGTGCTGAGCTGGACCCCTGGACGTGGGTTTGGCCGCACGCCCTGGGGTGGCCGCACAGCCTCAAACCCAGTCTCCTACCTCCGTCTGCACACGCTCAGAACCTGGTGGGGTTTACCTGCTGTGACGCCGACCACACTGTGAGACAACAATAGGACTCCTGCCACAAGTGTCCTAATTGGATTCATCTATTCACTTCACAATGCATCACTGCTGGCGTGCGGCGGAGGCCCTGCAAGGAGGTTCATTTGATTAATAAACCTTGTTTGGTAATGGAACACAGAGTGCTTGTGCTCGGCGCCGTTGGATTTAAAGCAAAACTGGAGTTTGTGTCTGTTTGGTGATTCAATTAAGTGAGTTTAATGCGCGCCGTGTGACATAGCTGGCACGGCTATTTATCAGAGTGCCACCCTGAACGTTATGTTTACTTAATTAAAATGAGCAGCCCCGAGAGCAGCTTCAGGCAGAGCAAAGGTGCCTTTCTCTCAACAAATGTTTATCTCTGAAATGGCCCGATGTAAAACCTGCTGCAAGCTAGCATTTTCCCCAAAGCTTTGCTTCAAAACACCAAGCAGCATCAGGAAATACGAAAACTTCACAAATTGCTGAACTCCTCCAGCGAACGCGTCCCTCCTTCTGCTGACCGCAGCAGCCTCGTTCCTCTGATGTAATTTCCACATGAATTAAAGTGAAAAAACAAAAACGAGTTGCAGCAAATAGCAGATTTTTCTGGCCTCCCGTGGCCTTCCACTAAAGGCCACCCTCTGTGGCACTCCTGCCCTCACACAAGTTAGAGATGAAAACCCCAGACCACAGTCAGTTAGGGCGGACAGAGTCTCAGAAAGAGTGTTGAGGGTCAGCTTTTTTCTCAGAACGATCTTTTTCAACCATGTGTCCAATGTCAACATTCCAACCAACCTATGCACACCACAATAAAGACAGAAGGAAATGAGGAGAAAAAATTTGAATGGCTCGATCGGTGAAGAAAGTGGGGTTTCTTTTCTCTCTCCCTTTAGAAAGCTAAGGTTTCTCAGTTTGGATCTTCCAGCTCTGGAAGCCCGCATGCCTACAGCTATTCATCTAGGCCGACATCATCAATTACTGCTAATTAACCAGATGATGGTCTGGTGAGCAGAAAATGAAGGAGGTGATTAATCACCCAGAGCACCTCCAGGGCCACTACTCAACCTTAAAAAGGGAAACGGGAACAAAAACGGCTCAGAGGTTTCGCTTTTGGCTCGACAACATGTCCAAACCTTTGTGGCAGACAAACCGGAGAAGATTACATTAACAAAAAATCATCCACCTGTGAGCTGTAATGGAGAAAACACACTTTTGTCCCAGTTCGGTGCCAGCTAACCATGAGGGATCACGCACGGAGAAATGATAGTCAGACCTTTTTATTAGACGTGGGGAATTTCCTGTCCCTGCTGAGGTGCTGCTTTTCTATTCCTTTGCTTGCGTGTGTCAGGCCTCTCTGGGCGATTTTTACTGGCGGTTTGGGGGGAATGATGTAATTGCGGAAAGGTCTGGGGTGCAGTCAAACTAGTAATTCAGCGAGGAATTTTTTCTTCTGGTCAAGGCTGGCTGTCTTTATAAATAAAGAAGTTGGTCTTCAAAAGAGAGAGGGAAAAAAAGGGAGAGGAGTTGCGGTTTGCCGTCATTCACTATGCGCAGCCTGAAAAATAATTCAGATTAATTTCTAATCCGGTAACCTGGCCAACGATCAGATTTCTGTGCTGTGCATGATGTTAAATTCTGTAAATATGAACGTGCTGATTGCTCTGTAGGAAAAAAAACAAAAAAAACTTCAGCCTTGATCCAGGAAAGTATTATCCTAACTGGAAGAATCCAGGAATTTTTTTGTCATATGGATGGATTCGGGGGGGATTTTTCAAGGTCTGCTTATGAGTCAGATATAAGGTTACTGCACTAATCACCACACGCCAAATGCAATTCAGGTTGGGTTTTTTTTAAATTGCTCCTCTATTCAGCTAAATTGAATTAGGGCCATGATTAGGAATACAAAAGTACAAAGTAAAGCACAGCATCTTCTTGAATAAAATATGATATTCCAAAGCAGCTGAACAGCAGCCTGGAGAGGTGCTGTGCACCGGGAGTGTTCTCCTGCTATCTTCAGCCGCATTAGACGGGGGAGTCTGGGTAGTGTCGGCGGCGTGCACTCGCCCCATGTGTGCTCAGTTACCTCATCTTCAGTGGTGAGTTATGGCTCTCGCACAAGCCGCTTTTCGGGGCTGCTTGTAAGATAAAAGAAAAATCAGGGCTTTATTAGCCAGACAGAGTGGGTGTGTGAGCGGGGAACAGCAAACCCTCATCCCCGGATCAGATGCGCCTTTTTTTTCCAGGCCCCGAGCTGCACACGCGCACACACCCTCCCTGGGCAGGCCTGATAATGCAGGGAGAGAAATGGCATCTGCTGGAACTCAAATTCCTTTACTGTCTGTTTCCTAATGTTGAAAAGTAGACGTTTCATCCCCATGACTCATGTGATGAGGGAAAAGCACGCAGCTTCACTTGAGTTATGACATAAAGCGCGTCTGGATAAGAAATCCTTGTGCTCTGTCAGTCACGCGCGCAATCAGTCCAGTTATCAGGGATGTTTCAGCATGTAGAGGCAGTCAGAATAATAAGAAAGGATGCGCATGCTTCCAGGTCCTCTCAGAACTTCGTCCAGTGATGCTTCTGGGCAATACGTTTGACTCTAGCGCCATCCTGTGGAGAAAACCAGGAACAGAGCCAAATCTGCTGTATAGTGCTCTGATTTGTCCTTGAATAGACAACTAGGGTAAAATAGCTGTATATCTTTTTTCTAAACGAAAGAGAAAAAAAATCTTGAAAAGATTAATTTAAAGGTAATCTTCAACCAAGATTTATCTCGGTTTACATGGATTTCCACCCCTGAACTCACCCTGCGTGTGTGTTGGTGAGAATAATGCCACAACTGACTAAAAAAGAAAATCCATCCATCCATAATCATTACTGCTTATTCCCTAATGGGGTAGCGGGGGAAACTGGATCCTATCCCAGTGGTCAACGGGCAAGAAGCGGGGTACACCCTGGACAGTTAAAGAAGAAAATGTTAAATCAAATCAAATATACTTTATTAATCATTTTCCGGCGCCCGGTACAATGAAATCCTCAATATCAGTACAACCCGTCCACGATCATACAAAGCCACAGACACATAGACACACGTGGGGGGAAGACTGTGGACTCCATCTGGAGGCGTATATATAAAAGTTTGATCTGCTCGCAACACGAAAGGATCCAGGGGTCTTTTACAGTAGTGGAATATTTTATTAGTCAGTATAGAGAGAACCAGTTGTTGATGTACAGCTGCTTTTCTGCATGTTCACACATTGAAAAAGGGATGGAAGTGACAGCTTACAATATACACGGACAGCTTGGTCAATGATGTCCACAGACCAATACGTTTTAGAGTCAAACCACAGTGTCTCAGCAGAAACACGTTTGTTTTTTTTACACAACATGTGATATACAGAACTTTTCATACACGTTCGTCACAGTTCCTAAAACAGACTAGAATGCAGGATCTGCCAAAGAGGCTGTGAACACTGTTCTTCTGGTTTATTAACCGATATAGTCTCTATGTCCATGTGCAGAAAAAGCTGTGTGTAGGGGTTAAGTGGTGTGTGTGTACAGTTTAACTATCTATTACAGTTTTTCAGCTAAAATAAAATAAAAAAAGGTGAAAATCAGATTTATTATGAACCGTCAACTTCAAGTGATAATCTGTGGACACAATGAAATTTTAAGATAAATTATGAAAGCACATTTAATCATATGGGGATAGAACATAAGAACCAGTTGAATACATCTTTCCCTCAGCACAGGGGGGCTGTGTTACATAGAGTAAGTGTCTTTAACTGAGAAACAAAGCAAAAAAAAAATTCTTTATAGTGTCTTAAAAGAAGAACATTGGATATGATGAAGCGCTCCAAAGAGAGGAGCAGTTCCTACTGTGTAAGCATGCAAGTTAATACGGTCGCCTGCAGAAAAGCATGTTGATAAGGGTCACTGAACGCGCGTACTGCAACTAAAAGGAATTTACGGGTTGTTCTCTGTTGCGATTTCTGATTCAGCTCCCCGATGCCATCTGCAGTCAGACCGCTGTCCCATTAAATCAATAACCTCCCACTCCCATTTCAGCGCAAGCTGCCGTTTACACGCTCCACGCCAGCAGAGCACAAAAGGCACTGCGTCACGTTCACTGACTGAGGCTGAAAATGCACCAATACTGGAAACTGTGAACCACAGACAACAGATCAGCAACAGCAAATAAGTTTTTTTTTTTAAACTATTCCTCACAGCGTCAATAAGTAACTACACGTATGTGTGTGTGTGTGTGTACAGAGATATATGTACAGATGCATTTTTTGTCAGTACAAACAATAACTGTGTTGATGGAATAATGATTAGGTAACTGAAATGTTGTATATTGTCTTGTTGAATATTAGTTACTTATACATCTGCAGAAAGCCGTGGTTTTAATCAGTTTTTCTAACTGAGAAGCGAAAGAAAGAGAGCAAGCGAACACTGCATTTGTTTTCCACCTTCTGGGGGATCAGTGAGCTGAATCAAAGATCAATTTTACATGAAATCAAGCCCATTTGTTTTTAAAGAAACTAGTTCAGAGAGCGCACCACTAGTGTTTGCTTTCAGGGGACGAGGGGTCCCAGCCTCAGCTCTACGTGGTGCGTGAGCCAAATGGCCTCGGTGGCGGCCTCGGGCGCCTCCTCGCTCTGCCGGATGGGAGCTGCGAGGTTGCGGAAGTCGTGTCTGATCCTGAACGAGACGGTGACATCCGCGTCCTCTTCTTTCTGAGGGATCACTTTGATGAAGAAGCCGATCTTGTTGGATTTCCTGAAGGCAACAATGCTGCGGAGAGCAAAGAGAGATGAGCCTGGCGGTCAAACGCTGCTTCTGTCTGCGAGTGCTGGAGGGTGGTGAGTGGACTTACTCTGGGTCGTCCTGGAAGTCCTGAGGTTCAGCCAGTTCATCGTACTCTGCAGCAGCATCCTTTCCAGCCAAAACCAGCTCCTTACTGGGCACGAGTACCTAAAACAGGAAATACCCTGTGACTTTTGAAAGACATTGAAAGTGTTTTTGCCAATAAAATAAATAAGAGGAGAATAAAAGGAGAATGCGGCCATTTGTTAAATGAAGAACTAATATACTGTGACATATTTTACTGAATAACGTTTGTTTAAGGCCTGTGGAAATTCCGATGTTCACCACTGATAATGTGAGGGATAATCACTTCAATATTCTAGTAATATACTTGTGTCTGCACTGCCTGTCTCTTCTCACTGAAATGTGACTGTTTGCTTTGTGCCCATCTCCTCCTCCTCGTTAGCATGACAGTTGATCATGAAAACAAAGCGCTGAGGCCGTTGGTTTTAAGAGGTGTGAGGGCGAAAGGAAGAGGACAGCTTGCGCAGCTGCTCTTAGGCTGTTGTTTGACCTTTGAGTGTTCTGGAATCTCAGGCTGTAAGTTGAACAAACTCACTGAGAGTTCTGTGTTCTGCCTGCTGTCCACATTCAGTGGACCTGAGCCCACATCAGAATGTGCACTGCCATCTGCTGTCCTTTTGACATTGCAATGGGAGAAGCTTGTGAAAAAGTGAGCCCGCCTTCGGAACAGGCATCAGAATGCGGAAACCAGCTGCCGGCGTTGCTGGTTTGGATTAAACTTCATTTTGAGTTGTTTTTTCTTTTCTTTGGCGACTTTGAAAATAAAGTGGTTGTTGCTATAGAATAACAACTTTCTCTGTGGTCTTTGAAAGAGCTGGATATAACCCACCAGTAAAGACGACTTCTTCGTTAAAAGGGGGAGGACTCCTCAAGCGGCCCCTTATCGGCCCCCCCATGCACAATAATCTGACGTTTCATGGATAGATTTGACTTTTCTCATTTCTCAGTAAATGGGGGCCATTTGAACGTTACTTTTTGGGACTGTCAAACACTTTGTGAACACAAGGTCAGAGTGATTTCTGATTCCAGATGTATCGCAGAACACAAAACTGATAACTATAGCACAGGTATAAGAGTAGAGGGGGGTGGAAATGCCAGGATGGACTGCCTCTGCATTAGATCGCCTGCGTGTTGTTTGTGTAGACTTTGTAGACTGGAACAGAGGGTGCTCAATCTTTCAGTAAGGAACGGCAGTCATGAATTTTTCAAATTCCCAAGTCTCTGGGTTTCTTTTCCATCCACTAACCCCTATGCCTTGTTATACCTCTGGAATGTCAAAAGAAAACAACAAAATGTGTAAAAGCATAAAACCAAAACCAATATTTTGTGTAGCGCTGGGCTCCAAGAGTTGTGCCTGTCACTCTGGTTAAATCAGTGAGTCCATGCCGCTAACAGTGCAGATGGATATAGTACCCAATATTCACATGTGGAACCGGTGTGTGAGGTGTAAGGTGTAAGCGATGGCTGTTAAAATCAGCAGAGCTTGCCTCGATGCGGCTCACATTGCCCCCCAGGTGTTTGAATATCACATGGAGAGGGGGTGGGGGACAGCACAGCGCTGCACGCTCCGTTTGGAAATAATGGTTTGTGGAAATGGGTCGTGAAGATGCTTCGTTTTGCCCCGCAGCTCTTCTTCACCCACGCCTTGCCAAAGACTTCATCGTTTAAGAGGCTGAGGTAGGCAGCCTATCGTGACTGAGAGCCGCAAAGTGGCTGCCTTAACAGGAAGTTAGAGGGAGCATGGCTACAGGAACGTGAGATGAGATGTGACAGCTAATAATTTCTTAAATAAACGGCCTGTGAAGGAGGTGACAATCCCACACAGCGGTGCACATCAACCGTCCAGGCACTGGGCACAGTATTACTCTTTCTGAAGAGTTCAAATGGGAATTCATGAGGCAGTTTGGCTTGTTTCCCACGCAGTGACCGAGTAACGTGATCAACTGGTTCAACACTAGTGCATACAGCGGGTTCATCTGTGAATGGTTTCTGTCCTGGTTTTATATTAAGAAAATGTAGGGGAAATACCCTGGCAGTGCTGTTGATGTCATCAGGGTCTTCCTCCTCACAAGCTGCCAGTGTAACATGTGTGAGGTTCTCCACTGGGTTGGTCAGGGTCAGCAGAACCTGACTCTCCTGCACAGGATGAGGAAAAAAACAAGAACGTAAAAATAATGTTCACACCTGATTTCTGACTCTGTTATTTCACATTGCCTTTACTTAAGAGACTCGTTGTTTTGTACGCGCAGTCCTTTAATGTATGAGATAAGCTCCATTGGAACTGGTAATTCATAGATTTCATATAGTTGCTATATCTTAAAAATGATTTAATATAAAAATGTGAAAAGTTTTTAAAAAAAACAATGTTCTCGCTGACCTTCATGTATCGGAGGTTTGGAATGGACATGATTCTCACTTCAGGGATATAACTCCTGTAGGAGGAAATGGAGGAAAAGAGAAAAATAAATCCCAACACCAACATTCTGACATCTTACATTCAGATAAACATCAATCATAAAGTTCAGCTGGTTGGTCTAAAAAATAATTTCCTTGACCAGCTTCTCCAGTCTCATAATAAACTGGTGTATTTTCCAATGAAAGTGCTTGTTGTGGATAAACAGATGGCACTCCGATGCCCACTACTCACACAGCCACCAGCTGGATTTTAAACTTGATTGAAGTTGGATTAAACTCTGGCTTGCTCAGGTTGTGCTCACATTTCTGATGAAAAAAATAAAACAGAAAAAAGGCGTTATTTTAAGGAAGGACAATGTGCCTGGGATTATGTCGGATCAATGAAAGCTGGAAGTGTTTCTGACCCTGCAGCGCAGGGAGCGCTTCATCAGGAGGTGCTTGTGTCTCGGGTGGAGCTGAGACGCCCCTGCAGGCTGGAAGTCCGGCTGCAGGAGCCTCTGGCGCAGCGTGGTCACTGGGGAGCCGAAACAAAGCACTGGCTTAACTCCTCCACCTCCACTAAAGAGGTAATCAGTCGTCTGTGGACCAAATGTTACCTTCTGGTAAACTGACGGGTCTGGTGTAACAATCCTCAGGCAGGGGCTCCACCTCATCTAGAGCCTGAGCAGGCTCAATGTTGATCTCCTTCTGGTCCTCGCCCTCTTTAAGGCTGATAAGGAGACACAAACACTGCTTGATAACTTGTAATGGAGTTGTGTAAAACTAATGGGAGAGAACTCTTCCATTCTCCACAGAGACAGCAAATATATTAATGTTGTGTGGAAAGAGCCCACATCCACAGGACTCCAGGGAGTTAGATCTATGAGCAATAGCATTTCAAGGCCTATTTACCCACATATGCTCTCTTTCTGAATAAGGAGAAAATGAAGGACATGGTTTTGCTCATTAAGGCATATTTAAAGAAGGTGCAATACTCTGAGGGAATACTAAATACATAAAAAGGGCTATGCAGACACCAAAGCGTTTAAGATTCTCTTCTTGCCCAGAGCTTGACAACCTTTTTTTTTTTTTCTTAGGAGAGAAATATATCTGCCTCCTGCATCTGATTACGTGCTTTGTCAACTTTCTGTCAGCTAACTGCTAAATTCAAGATACCCCTGAGTGCTTTTGATTAAGATATTTAATGATCCCTGCTCACAATCAACACAAGGCTGATACTGTAACTTTGGGGGGGAGGGGGGGTGACGTGCTTGCTGTCTGTGATGGATTGCCAATTTTACAAAAGTCCATTTTCAAGGCTCTGCTAACTGATTTTAATAGCACACTGAAAGGAATCAAACACTGGCCAATTGGTGTCATATGTTCTTATACAAACACACACAGCATTCACTGAACAGAGACACAAAAATGTAAAATTCTTTCAAATCATTCAATCCTTCAAATACAAAAAAGATTCTTACAAAATAAAAAGGAAAAGGATTGAATGTAAGGGGCCAAAGGCAGCAGCCTTCTCATGTTTACAGAAGAAGATGACTCACGAAAGGCCAGCCAGGCTCGATATGGGAGCTCCGGTCCTCTGCCTCTGCAGTCTTGTTCCAAGGCCATATTTTTCCTGGGTGAATTGAGGGAAACACGCAGGGTCAGGCAGACCGCCAAACCAGAACCAAGTGGGATTTACAAATTCATTCTACAGCTATTCATCTACAAAACAATTCTAAACACAAGACTTTGGTCCAAAAGGAAAAGAATTCTACGAAAGCCTCTGAGAACAAAAAAATACAAGATTTAAAATGGTTTATGATATGTTTATAAACATTACATAAGCCAGATAGCGTTAAATGCATCCGGCGATAGTAATTTCTTTCGCAGCAGTGTGAGTGACTAGACGGCAGACCCAGGACTTAATTAGACTTTTAACTAGTTGCACACATCAAGCTGTGCTCTGCTGCTTCTCTTACTCTAACAAACATAAAAGCTCCCCTAGTGTGGATCCAGCCTTGCTTTGCCAAGCAGAATTTCATGTGATCTGTGAGTGTCTCCATGACAGATTAGACGAGAAACAGACAAAACAGGAAGACAGTGCTACTATGAGGTAAAAACTAGCCAAGTTGTGAAAAATACGACTCACCACCACATGGATAGTGTGTTGCTGGGGGGGTGAGGGGGTAAAAACCAAAATGTCAGAGTGCATAAGCAAAAAAGGAGAGAATACAGGACAAAGTGAAAACAAAGTGATTAAGCAAAACATTAGTGGCAATTGACGGCATGCAACAGCAACAGAAAGGCATCAGTGATGGAAAAATAACTGCAGGAGATCACATCTTAATTGGCTCCAACACACAACAGGAAGGAGCGATTTGCATTAATGGGCTTTAATTACTGAAAAAGCAGAATGCAGGAGGTGTGAACAATGTGCCGACAAGCTAGCACATTCAAAGCAGGCCTGTTTTCTGCTGTGCTTTGGCCTTTAACACATAGCAGGCTGGCTGTCATTGAAAGGTTTCACGTAGATGCACAATCATTAGAAAACAGCGTGAAAACACCTTCAATCTTGCACTCCAAAAAAAATAAAAACCGAATCAAAAGATAACTCATCACACCTATGTGGTGTTGACTGTAGAAAAGATGTACACAGAGAATATTGCTCTATCAGTCAAACTAAAACTGAATTCTTTTCTATATATCTTAGCCCGAATTATCCTGCACAATGAATTTCTCTCGACCCTTTGTTTGGTAGTCCGAATAGTTCTGAATGTGCCTGCAGGGGCACTCTCATAATTTACAGAGCTGTAAACCGTTTAATTCCGGTCCACATGCTATCATTACGTCTGCTGTAAAAATGTTTGTCATTCTTGTCTGTAACATAAAACATTGACAGAAAAAGCTGAAAAGGGGTGCATCGCCTCCTATGGCAGCAGACTCGGACGCGAGTCAACATTTCGATTTCCCTTCTGTGCTCGTGTAGTGGAGGCTAATCTCTCCTGTATGATTTCAGCATGTATGTCTTCTACTAGGGCCTGTAGAAAAATGTTTTGAAGCACATCTAAAATCCTAACGTCGTTAGCAATAATCAAGGAGAAAAGAAGGGGTATAAGGTAAGGGCACCGCTTTCACATATCTCCATGTAGCTCTGATGGGAAATGTGTCACTGATACAACAGTTTGACATTTAAAAAGATAAACAGGTAGGTAAGTTATTATTAAGGAGACTGAGCGTGCAGGTCAGAGGGCGCAGAGTACCGAGAATGCCAGGGGCATGCACTGTCGTCTCCTGGCCAGCTTCTTCCTGTCCCTCTCCTGCTTCTCTCTGTGGGCCAGCTGCTGGTAATATTCAATCAGCTTGTTGATCTGTTGAAGGCAAAAATGCATGCACACACAAATCAGACATCACTGGTTTTTCCAACGGGACACGATAAGAATCCAAGTAGCTAACCACAGAACAGAAAGTTCATAGAGCTCCACAGATGGTCTTCTCAACAGCAGTTGAAATGAAGTTTTTAAAGTTTCTGTGAATTAGTTTGTTAATCGTTCCTGCTCGGTCTCCAGGCCGCGGTGGGAAGACGTAGGGCAGGGGCTCTCTGCTGGGCCAAAGCTGTATACAGACTTAGGGTTAACACCCTCACTCCACCACACAGTGGAAAAGAGATACTGGGCTCTGCTTGTGCCTGGAGGGGCTGTGGCAGTTCTTATAAGACTTGGGTCCCACATTTTATATTAACAGAGTCTCTTAAGACAAACTATTTTCCTCTGAAAACAAACCACACTCTTTCTCTGTACATTTCTCTGTACATCCAAACACTGCGTTTCTCTCTCTTCACACCCGCTTACCCTTCAGAAGACCACACCATTCTTACAAGCTGTTTCTATGATTTAATTAATGTATGAATATGGATTAAGGCAGCTGGAAATCCTCAGCTTGAATGTAGACCTATTGTCATAAAGAGTAAAAGGTACAGAGAAAACTCATATGTTGCCTTCCCTGACATTCATGGGTTAGCAATATCTGTGTTAAGCAAATCTTCTACTAAAGCAAAATATTACTAAATAAAATTGGCACTGATTGTTTGCTTTCACCAAGACCCTGCCTTTAGTAACATTCCATTTGCTTAGATTAATTTAGCCTGGGGCTGTATATGTGTGGCTACAGTTTATTCAGACAAAGCTATTCAGAAGTAAGAGCATGATCATGAACCATGTGAGCAGCTTGAGAGTTTTTAATGGCCATGGGGGAAAACATACCCGCTGAGCATGAGGGTTCTCTGGTTCCTGCCATCCACCGCTGGCTGCAGTAAAAGAAATAGGAATACTTAGAAAGAAAGCATCAACACATCAAATGGTGGAGGATCACATAAACTGATACCAGTTCTTTACTGAGCAGTCTGAGCTGCTACGAAACTTTAACTACTGTATCATTTTAGCCTAGTACATAAAGCGTGCAAATAAGTATGACTTTGTTGACACATCAATATAATATTGGTTCCTACCGACTGATTTGTCAGCCATTCCCACATCCCGGGAAGTCCAGCGACAGAAGCCACAGGCTAAATAGTAGGCTTTCTTCATGGCTGTCTTGGTAGGATCATCGGGCAAAGGAGCTGGGATGTTGGTTGCCCGAACGGACAGCGTGTGCATGCAACACGGACAGTCGAAACAATTTGCACACCTACAGACAAACAGAGAAAGAAAGTGAGAGACTTGCAGACACAATTATGATACAACTGAAAGCCTAGGCTAGTGCAAAGTCCATAGAGACTTAAATTGGAAAAGGTAAATACATGTGTCATTTTATTCATACATCACACCACCATTCTCACCTATTCTTTTTCAGCTTTGCCTCTGCTGACGGCATGTTCTCCAGACAGCTTGGGCAGTAATGGGAGTCCACCTGATCACAGACCGAAGTAACACGGGGAGTCAGTTATTTCAACATGTCTATATAAATGAAGGCTAACCTGTTTATAAAAATACTATGATGGAAAAGTTGAAGATTACTTTTTTCCTCATTGAAGTTAAGGTTCGCGTGTCTCACTGAGATGGTGATATATTTGCAAAAGAATACTCGCACTGGTATGTTGCTACGTTAAAATGTAGCTAACTCGCTGTAGGTAGGGTGGAGCTACCCGTGAAATGTACTAATGTAGGATTTTTACAACGGGCAGCGAAGACATTAGCTGAAATGAACAGAGGATAAGATAGGGTTCGTACAATTGAACATGATAATGACATAATTATTCAAGATGCATCCTAGAAAAGCTTTGGGAATAGCATAAGCTACTTGATAGCTCTATCCCTTTTTTTGCTGCGTTCAACACAATGCTAGGTCCAGCGGAAGTACAATGAAATACAACCAATGGGATTACGAGAATGCTGGAGACCCCGCTGAATGACAAGGGGCTGAACCATACAACGCGTCACGTCGTCAGACAAGTCCCACCCATCTGTCAAAGCGGCTAGCAAGTCAGCTAACAACAAGGTAGCTATAACTGCTATACTGTCATGACCAAGGGGGAAAAAAGAACAACGTACCTCGTGAGATACACATTCCAGAGATCGTAACTCGCTACAGTACCGACAGAAATACAATTGAGATAAGGGGGCTCTAATCCTCTTCTCCCCACGAACCAGATAGACCACTCTATCTGGCTGCAGAAGGGACGCCATCTCTCACCAACTAAGCTGAGTCCGTGAGGTGGGCTCCCTGAACACACACAGCCAGGACTGGTGTCACCGCTGCCCACAGACCCAAAGGCGCTCTTTCTCGACCCCTTGTGGTAGACACTGAAACCACAAGCAGAGGCAAAAAAGAATTTATCGCCCCCGGTATATTGAGTTCCACTCCCAATCTTTTTCAGGAAAGGTTACACTCCACTGTTACTTGTAAATCTCAAACAGTGTTTTTATGTCGAACACGTGACAAATAACTTTAGAACAAAAGTGGCCAACCAACATCACCGACTTGTCAAAGCCTGAGACATGTGATACACTATAAATACAATTAATCAACGACACTGAACTGGTAATAGTTTTCCCGTCCTCGTGTCTCCGACACTGTGCTGGGCACTGGATGATGAAGTCATGGAATTAACAGGCATGCAGAGAGGCCTGTCAGACACCCACAGGGCATATGGCCAACTACCAGCTCACCATGGCAACAACTGAGCCCATAAACGGGGAAATGATCCATAAATAAAAGGCCTAACACCGTGTCACAGCAACGTTGGATTGAATTAAATGTCCTGCTGAATTTTCTATTCATTCGTCTCTAAGTTGGTTTTCAGCCCCAGTCTTTCACAGTAATGTTCAGCACGGTTGTTTACAGTGGAGGTGAAAGCTGCCAGCTGCACTTACCTTTGTCAATTAAGACTTTCTCTCTAATCACGACTCGTCATGCACCCTTCATGTGTTCATTAATTTATTCATTGGCTACTTTAGGTCGACGTCAGCAGATGTCGACGTCACATCCAGCTGTGTGCCCCTCCGCCCCTCATTTATGAGGAGACCGAGACCGACTGTCACCCACAGAGAGCGGTCACCGAGTCGGGTGAGGACGGCATGATGTGGTCCTTCCTGCCGCTGCTGCTGCTCGCTCTGCTGCGACCCGGCACCACCGGAGCCACACTCACTCAGGTACCTGTTGATAACCAGAAAACCTACCGAGAGTTTCTTCGAAAGATCCATGCTTTGCGTCAGGGGACATCTAATTACGCCGCGTTGGCGCCGTGTAGGCGTAATTAAGCGAAATTAAACCGTCGCATAGGGTTGTGGTGCGGTCAACACGAGAAAATACATGTTTGAATACAGCTAAAACTAACCAGTTTTCCCATGTATTGCATGTTGCGTTGATTTTCGGAAATAATCACGATGAGATATTAATTAACGCACCAACCATTTTCCTTATTTGCCAATTAAGAAAGAAAAGGTACAATCTAGGCCCTATTTTTCCCAAGTGCAATATCTTTTTTATTATTGTTGTTGATATTATTATTATTATAACATCAATACTTTATAATTCCTATCATAACAATATTGTTATTATTTAGTTTTTTCTATGTAAAATTTGTATATGCTAAAGTATGGCTTGATCATCAATGCCAAGTATAATGCTTTTTGACCCCCAAAACGCCTTTATCCCTGTTTCATTCTCACAGACATGTTTATTAACTCTGTTATTAATGTTTTATGTTAAAAAAAAAATGTTTCTTTTGTTTCTTGATGGACAGTCTAAGAGCTCTGATTGAGGTCATGGGTTTTACTTTTACGAGTACCTGTGGAGCTCTGTGGGCTCTGTTGACACAGGGTTTGTTCAGTAGTGGAGCATATGTCAGGCAGCCGCCAACCTACACGCCAACAGGGGAGGTTTTACAATTCTCCCTAGAGGCAATGGAAAACCCAAACATTGTGATTTTACTGTATTGTCAGGTTATTTTCATGTACGACTTCCTGTAATGTTGGTACTTGCCATTTATTCCGGATCATGAATAAATTGAAAGCCATCTTTTGTTTAATTGATTATCGAAACAATGAAATGGCGTGTCAAAGGAGTTTTTATCTGAATAATTTCAATATACAGGAGAAACCTGCTTATTCAGACAAATAATTAAAAATAGAGAGGGAGAATGGATGTTGAAAACATAACACTCATAATCAAACATTTGTAATGTTGTGAACTGTACTGGCTCTTAGCCAGTCAAAAAAAGAGATAACCTGCCTTAGTCTTGTGTGTTTGTGTGTCCCCACAGCAGTGTGACTCTCCCACAGATGGCACCATCTACAATTACCACGCTAAGACTCTAGATGGCAGTCACACCGTGAACTTTGCTGATTTCACTGGAAAGACTGTCCTCTTTGTCAACGTTGCCACATATTGAGGATACACCTATCAGTACGTGGGTATGTGCAGGCCTCCTTATTTCATGTAGCTGTATGATAAATACAGGCCTCACCAACTCAACACAACTTTTTCTTTTATCAGAACTGAATGCACTACAAGAGGAGATGAAACATCTTGGGCTCATTGTTCTCGGTTTCCCCTGCAACCAGTTTGGGAAACAAGAACCGGGGAAACCACATGAAATCCTTTCAGCTTTAAAGTGAGAACTGTTTGCCTCTCTGTCAGCCTCAAGCCAGTCTCACTGAAACTCTGTTAGGGTAAAAAGGATTAGCAGATGACACTGCACTCAAAGTTACACGCACAGGCCTATCAGCTTTCTCAGATTTCAGGAAACTTGATCAGATTTTGCTCTGGGAGCCTATGGAAAATCTGAAAACTCCACAGATCCCTAAATACAAGCCTCAGGTTCATGATAGAATATACCTCAGCAGCTGTTAACACAAGGCCCTCAGGGCGGTATGTTCAGAGAAATTAGCAACATTTGGTTAAGCCTCCCTGTCAGCAAAACCTTATTTAACCGGCAATATAAGCTTCTTACGGCGGCTGCTTTAACAGAAACAGAACTTATGTTTCCAGTTCCACCAGTCATCTCAGATCCACCGTGAGGCCTTTGCTATAACACCGTCGTTTTACTTGGCCTGCATTGAATGTGGGGCAGCTGCCAAACTGCAAAGTGCTCAGTGGCACGTCCACTGATAACGTGCTCCGTTTCTGGATTGTAGGCATGTGAGACCAGGCGATGGATTCGTTCCAAACTTCCTGTTGTTGGAGAAAGGAGATGTGAATGGACAGGATGAGCAGGAGGTTTTCACTTTGCTGAAAGTAAGTTCTGATCTACTTTACGGGAAGGATCCATAAATGTTTGAAAACTCGAAAGTTAAAATATTCTTCCTGGTTCTCGTTTTGGATTAACCATGTAAATGAGTTCTTTACTCTTCTAAATCAAAGTGCTGCACATCTGGTTGATGAGGTGTGCTTTCTGCCACGCAGAGGGCCTGCCCTCCCGTTGGGGGCGACTTTGGGAACCCAAACGGCAGATTGTTCTGGGAGCCTTTGAAGATCAGTGACATCAAGTGGAATTTTGAGAAGTTTCTCGCGGGACCAGACGGGAAGCCAGTAATGAGATGGCACCCAGCTGTCAACATATCGACAGTCCGCGCTGATATTCGCAATTATCTGTTCAGACTGTACACACAGGATTTAAATTAGTTGTGATTGACTATGCTGTAGAGTATTCAGTGCAGAAGTGATGCAACAGTTTCTGCGACATGAAGACGGCATGTAGAATGAAGGGGAGGCTTGAAAACAGGAAGTCTGTGGTGCCTCCTCAGAGTGTGGGGCTCAGGCCAGCCTTTCAGTGCATTCAGGCTGCCCTGTAGTACCACGGCACCATGCCATCCTCTCACTCCAGGACCTGTTAACCACTTCTGCGCTACATTTATTTCAATAAATCATGTAAAAAGCCATCTTGTGTGAGAATTGAGATGAGAATTATGTCATGCAAGTTTGTGTTGGGTTTGTGTTTTCCCCCCCAGAAAACCCAATCCTACAAAGATAATGAGGGTCGCACAGTAATAAGACATTTAGAATAGATTTATTAAGCCAGTCAAATACAAAATGTCTCACATGTGCTTTCTGCCTATAGCAAAAAAGAAAAAGAAGGCTTCAAACCAGGAAAATACAACTACCAATAATTACAGCGTACCCTTCAAAGTGCAAGTCTACTAATCTCTGTCAGCTCTCACCCACCAGGATTTTCTTCCTCGTTACTGTTAAACATGTAAAAAAAGGGGGAAAAAGCTTTTTTCCAAAAGTCATGTCTACACATTTTGAAGCCCTTCATCTGTCAACATGAAATACACCTTTTTTTTTTTAAATAAATCTTTACAAAGTGTTTGAATAAAACAAGCAAGTCTTTTTAAAATGGGATAAACTCATTTAAAAGAGTGTTGCCCAATCTGAAGTTCTGCTTCTTGGTCTGTTATGAGGGCCATCCACTGCATTACACCGTTTTGGAGATTAAACTGCATGGCGTGTGATGCTGGTTGCCAGAGGGGATGGAGAGCAAAGCCAGACACCCTGGCAGGAGTTCTCTCCTGTGGGGCAGATGCTCTGCTGTAACATGGGCCGGATTAAAAAACAGTGGCAATAATCTAACTTTTGTGACATCTAGGTTTGTGACATGACGGGTATGGAGCAAGGTGGAGCCACCACTGCAAGCTGCAGATCTGCCAGAACACGATGAGGGAAGGAGTGTAAATATATCAAGAGAGAATGGTCAAACCAAGTGGAAGTGTTGTTTAATGAGATTAGGTCCATTATCATGGAAGAAGGAAGAAAGAAAAAAGGTTTTGTATGTACTGTGCATTGTGTATTGTGTCTGATACAAACATACAATGTCAATAGCTACAATATATTGGGATTACACCAACATAGAAAGAACAGTATTACTAAAGACAATGATTTACACTTAGTCAATGCAACTATCAAAACAGCAGGATATAAATAAATTATCAGTGATCACAATCATGTTTTTGGTATGATACCATCAAAATTCATTTCCCAAATTTTTTTTGTATTTCAACAATCACTTTTGAACATTTACACATATTGGACAGTTCTATAACATCGATGGCACTGTAGAAATCCTCGGAAATCAATTAACATTCACATTGTAAATTCTATGATTCAGTGTACCTACATGATCATTCATTGTTGGAATGAGTGTATGTCATCTTGTCATTTTGGGGAATGGCTTCCTGTAACCCTACCAGTAAGAAACTTAACTTGTTACATACTTGCAGAGACAATCGAATAGGTAGATTGGAAGAAAAACAGAAAATAAAAAGAAATAAAAGGAGCTATGTTAATTATTCCAACCTATTTAACAAATGACTGAAGATCCAGATAATTAAAAAAAAAAACCTAAATAATATTTCATGTATATATATATTTAGAATAGCGAAGTGTTTCACAAATAGCCTTATAAAACGCAAGTATAAACAACATTACAATAGGATATCTACAGTTCAGTAGGAAAATTATAGATCAATCACACCTTGTCAACTCAAATTACAAATCGATTTCATGCTACTACCCCGACTCCAGAAAGTGGGTATGGTGATGCTTTAGTGCTTTCCAGGGTCTATGTTCTGTCTCTCCCTTTTTCCAAACCCTGTTCCTGCTCCTGCTCCTGCTGCTGCTGCTGACGATGACTGATCTGGACACACAGACAAGCAATATATTTTTTTAAAGAACGTGAAAGGAAAGAGAAAAATGGAACACTGAACTCCTTTGCGACCAGATCCTAGGCGCCTGCACGGTTTCTTCACATGCAAAATACAGGGGAATTCCTGCTCTCCTGCTTCACTGAACAGAGTGAAGAAACTGTGACCTCAGCTGCAGATCCTGTGCTCTTCCAATTGCTTCCACTGGGTTGCATTTCGTTGCTGCTGAAGTACGTACAACGGCTCGTTATGGCCATCTCTTTGTGCTGTCTGTCTTAATCTTCCTTTAAGTGTCTCCTTTTTTTCCTCTCTGTTCCTAGCGCTTTTTATCACCAATGACCAACACGCTGTTCTCGCTCGCTCTCTGCTGTCGTCCCCAGTGACCAGCAGGCTCTGTTCTCTACACGAAGGTGCCCTTACGTCACTGTAGTCAACACAGCTGGTTTATACCAGTAAAACATGTCTCCATGACGCTTTTTGTTTCCAAGAAAGATAGCATTCATTTGGTGGTTGTGTTTAAACTCATGAAAAATACAGTAAAATACAGTGTTTTCTTTAAGGGTTTTCTTGCCTTTGAGTGGGACTTATAGAGAACTCTACACCAACATGTGATCCCTGATGGTGGTCAGGAGGGCAGTGCGTACTCAGTGGCTGCACCTTACCTGCGTTCTCTGGTGGTGGTCTTGTACTCTCTCCTACTGCTCTGGCTCCTCGAGGCTGGGAGAATGGCATTTGCCAAGGAAAACCCTGACCAAAGAGGAAGCACCATGTAAGGGACAACCCATCATTTTTCATCCTCACAACCATAATTAAATGTAGACTTTTTTCTGTAACCAGTAAAATGGTGACGTGCTGCCCCAGATGGAATAGAGGTAAGAAAGAGAAAAGAAGAGCCTCGTTTCCTCTGTGAAACAAAGCCCCTCCAGGTCCTGGCAGCCGCCTTACCGGGGTTACAGGCTGGAAGTCTCGAGTGGGGGGAGCTGCTGCGGTGGTTGTGGCCGTGGCGGCGCCTCCTGCGTTGGGCATCCGGGGAGGGAAGTGCATGGGCCAGCCCTCGAGGCCCTGCGTTCCCACCTGCACAAAGGGACCACAGGAGGGGGGGCTCAGCGGGCCGTGCACTGAGCCAGACATGGGGTCTGAGGAAGGCCTTTTTCACAAGTACGCATGTGATCCCCGATCGGTGCACGCCTGCAGCTCCCAGCCAGCTGCAGCCGCCATGTCCAGGAGGGGGCCACTGTAGACCCTCCACTGCCTCCCACCCAGAGTACGCCTGCTGGTCCACAAAGCACCCAGAGGCAGCTGCCTGGAGCGATGCTCTTGTGCCGATTTGTTTACAAACTCATTCAACTAAATATGTAAAACAGCGTCCGGTCACAAGGGGGCACTAGTCCGCCAGCTTTGGTATGCTCATGTCCATAATGCACAATAAGTCCCAGAGGGTTGCATAGTGCCTTCATCTTACTTAAATATGATTGAACGGATGGGCAAGTCTGAAAGCAGACTTTTATTCATCATTTCAATGTAAGCTGAGCACTTCCCGGCTCAGAGCTGAGCTGCAGCCAGTACCTGTTTGTGATGCTGCATCTGGAGTCTCTCCAGCTTACACCGCTCTGTACGTTCCCTCTGACACTCATTCTGTGCCTGATGAAGCTGAGAGACACACACACATAAGAGGGTTCGTGTTAAAACAAGCTAGGGGAACAAACAACTGTAGGAGACGTCTGGTGGCTGAAGCTCCCCTGATCATGTCCCCCAGCTTACCTGATTGGTCAAATTAGTAATCTGACCCTGGAGTCTCTCGACTTGCCGCCTCAAATCTTCCTTTTCCTCATTCATTCGCTCCCTGTCACTTCTTTCTTTTCTAAAGTCCTCCTCAAAGATTTTTACCTGGACAGAAGAAAAATAAGAAAAATAAGAAGTGCAGCTGCAGAAAAGTCCCAAAAACTGAAGCCTTACCATGTGAAATCACGTCTTACCTGTTCTTTTAGTACAGCAATTTGAGTTAGAAGTTCTTGTTTTTTAAAGTTATTTGCTGCATCTGCAAAGTTCCCCTGGCCAGGTGGTTGTTGGGCAGATGAAGGGGAGTGCAGGTTTAAGGCTTCCTCTAAGGCCTGGAGACACACAAATCACACATTTCATTAAATCAACACCAATGCATCCCAGGGCGATGGTTCCTTTTCTCCCCTCTCCCCGCCACACTCACCCTGTTGAGCCGCTGGATCTCCTTCTCCTGGTACTCCCTCTGCTTGCTGAGAGGAAGCAGCTGATCTTGAAGGTATCGAACCTTCTGCTTCAGTTCAGTAGTCTCAGAGTTTAGACACTCCTTCTCCCCCTGATGCAGACACACCCAAATCATTGATAACACTCTACTTGGACATCTTTCCACAATGGGTTTTAGAATTGACTCAACCTGTTTTAATTACTTTTTTGTAGTCTCACCTGTACGTTCTCGATCTTGGATTTGGCCAGAAGGAGTTTTTTGTCATAGTCGCGCTGCCTCTGCTCCCGCTCGGCCTCCAGCTCCAGCACAGTTTTCTGGGACTCAGCCAGCCGTTGCCTGAGGTCTGTGATCTAGGGGATAACGTAAACCATCTGCCTGAGTTCGTCATACCTAAACAGTAAGCTAAAGCATCATTCTCACACACGTGCTGACCAAAGAGATGCGGAGACAAAGCCAAACATAAGTGGTGTGCGTGCGAGTTGAAATACAACGTTAGAATTGAGGCCCCAGAAAATGGACAAGTGCGTGAACATGCAGTGAACATTCTGTTACTATGTAAAATATGAACAAATCTAGTGACGCAAATGAGTATATCTAGGGTTCTGTGGTTAAAGGCTAAGGCTGCATGGTGTCCCCATCTCAACAGAGTGTGAATAGGGTATGTTCAGAATAGTGGGTAAGTGCGAAAGCAGGTGTGTGAGTTCAAGTGTGAGAGTGTGTACATTTGTGTCTCTTTGCTGCCCTCTGACTGCACCACAGCAGGAAGTCAGCAGGTACCAGAAAGGTGAGGGGAATTCTTGCTGAAGTGTGACAGGCCTTGTGGTAAGTGTGTTCAGATAGCAAGCTATTGCAAGATTGCACCATTTCCACTGGACAAGCACATTGAAACGAAAAAAAAAAAAAAAAAGAAAAATAAAACTGCCAACTGTTGCACCCAAACTTCCATCCTCACTGATCATTTATACAGTTTCCAATAACTAATGTGATTTTTTTTTCAAAATTGTGATTATTCTTGTCTCAGAATTAAGAGTTCTGAGCAGTAATGCCTTCTGACAGTGTCTTAATGCAAAAGCCTGAAAGCAAATCCAGCTATTATTTCTGTACAAATGTTCCACTGATAACACCATCTTTAAAAATATTTTTTTTTAAACAAATTTCAATAGTTATAAATCATTTCTTTAAAAGGTGGCCTTTGCATTTGAATTCAACCCACTTAGAATCAACAACAAAAATGTTATACTTTCTATTCTCAGCATCTTTATTTCTCTTTATTAGGGGATATTTTTGTGATGAAAATAAATGTAGATCAATTCACCATAACGTACCAGGGATTGGTTATGTAAAAAAAAGTAGTCCAAAATTTAAAGTGTCAGAATTTCAATCCACGGCAAACAAAGTAAAATAAAACTGACATAAATTGAACCGATTTGACTGACCAGACACAAGACATAAAATGAAACAATAAAAAAAAAAAAAGTCAGTTGGTCGAAAAATCAATCAGAGGCTCAGAGATGTCTGCCATATTGCTTTTATAGCCGTGAAGTGATTACTGTACCTTCTGCTCAAACTGTGACTTCATGGAGTTCCACTGAATGTCCCACTGCTTGTTCACCTCCAGAACCTACAAGCAGTGCCAGAAAGTGAAACAAAGCTGAACACATAGGAAACAAAATACAAAGAGACTTTCCCCTATGGTCACACAGGATGAGCAGCAACTAAAAAAAGTAGGTAAGTTAATACTCACATCCTTTCTCTGCTTCTCTAAAAGCTTGATCTTCTTTTCATACACCTCTACATCACATGGCTTGGTTGGGGTTTTCTCTGCAGCTTTTCCACTCTGGTGGGTGGGGTGGAGGGGCACACAGAAAATATTCCTTAAATCCAGAGCAAGTCTCCATTACACTAATACCGTGAGCGTGCAGGTGGGAAGGTCACACACGAACTGAGAAACATTTTAGTCTCCCAAAATTTTCACAAGGGGAATTTTAGGGTTAAGGTAGGAATGTAAAATTTTATTTTCTTCGTGAAGAAATGGACACAGAATTTTAAACTAAGAAGCATTTATGCCGTACTCCAATTGTAAAGTACCTTCTGCGGTGTGGAAGCCTCCATTTTAGGTCGGACAGCAGCTGATTCCTCCTTTACTTGCTCGTCTTTGGCCTCGGGAGTCTCAGTATCAGATGGCGCCGCTGTCGATGGTGCTGCTGCTGCTCCTCCTGTGACCAGCTCCTTAAGTTTCTGATTCTCCTGCCTGAGACCAGTTAGAAAGCGAAAATGATAACATCTGTGAACCGAGCCAGTTCAAAGTGGTTCAGATTTTGCCACCGTGTCAGGATCTCCTTTGGGAAGAACCTACAACACCAACTAGCTCCAGAAAGTACTGGAATAATTCCCCATCATAAGTGAAAGCATGGTCAACTCCCATGTTGCAATAGTCCAGAAAGTATACATAAAAATAGACATGTCAAGACATGGTTGACTCACAAATCAAAATAATAAAATGAGATATGTCACCATCTGTCACCCTTTTGTGAAGGAATGAACAGCAAATCATGTAATTTTTCACTTCTAACAATGTCCCTGCTTAGCAGGGCCAGCATATAAAGCCCTGCCCAGTCAAAAGAGAAAGAAACATTACCTCAGCTGTTCCAGGTCTCGATTCCTGATATGATGGTCTTCTTCCATTTTCTTTCGAAGTTCATTGTTCTCCTGTCTGAGCTGCTCACAAAGAGTCTACAAAGCCAAAAAGCAGCAAAATACACCCATAGTTATCTCAAAACATACCATCAATATGGGCAACTATTGTTATTATGGTATGGATACATTTATGTTGGTACTCAAACAAAACTTTTGATAAAATTCACATATTCAGATGTACAGACCTTTTCGGCTGATAAACAACTGAACTGAACAAACACCATGACTGAAATCACATTAACACACTCACGACAGGGAAAGTTTTAAATAGCTAAGAGATGACAGACCTCTCGCTTTGGAAACTAGCCTTAAAGTTAACGCTTACTTAGTATGAAATGGCTACTTGACTTTCATTCCAAACAACTTTGGAACTTGCTTTTAAAATGGTCATACAAACTCATAAAGTTCAAAATCAAAATCTCAAGGTCTTCACATACACACCAGGCAATGTGTAAGTAGAAGTCAGACTGACTAGTTATTACCAGAAAGTTTTTTCCTGGAATTTAAGCTGCTTTTGTTTGTGAAAAAGTGACCACTGAAGCCACTACTGAAATTATTCTTACATTACAAAAGCAGCGTTTCTCAGAAAAATGTGGCACGACCAGCTACATTTGGGGTGGGACAATTTAGCAACCCGAACCATGCAATAATATAAAAAGATATAAAACTCACATTTCTGAGTGCTACTAAAGCATTATTATGCCATCTCAGAGACAGAACTTGGATTTAAAGATTTCACATCTTTCTTTGGTCATTCTTGGTTTGTGGCATACCTGTAGGAGGGAGGTCCGCTGTTCATTCTTTTGGACCTTAGAGGAGAGGTGGTGAAACTCTACAGCCATGCGGCCAAGGTGGGCTAAGAGCTGATTTGGGTTGGACTCCTCCGCAAATATGCTGAACGAGCTTTCCAGTCTCTTCAGCTGGCTCGCGAGCTCGTTGTTCTCCTGAGGGAGGAGAGGGGCTGCTCCTGCCACTGACCCAGCCTAGAGATACCCACACAGGTAAAAAGTTAGTTGACCTCTTACACAGGGAGAGTAGGCGTGTTTGCAGATAAACATGCACGCAAAGCAGCACAAAACATTGTGCAAGAGTGAACACGCTGCTTCTTCCATGGAAGACTACAGCTGATTTATATCACAAGGCAGATCGGCTTTTCTGGCTTGATTTAAATTTAGTTCTAACTGTGTAGCCACCAGCTGTGGCAACACATTTCCAGAAATACTCACTAAGGTGTGGAATATTCATAAATTAACATTAGCTTTGTCAACAAGTGCATCTAAAATTAAGGCAAGTGTCCTATGAAGACATCTGCTGGGATGCAGTGTGTAAATGAATCAGCAGAGTAATTATAGTCAGTAATAATCCTGGACTTTCCCCTCAGTGACTAAAGCTGGAGCTGCCATCATTGAGTTTGACAGTGAGTACACGCACCACCCTATGTATTCCCAGATTTAAGGAAACCGTTCTAAACAGGAAACTTTGCATTTGCCTCATAAAATCCTTCTAAATATTGATGATGTGTAGAGGCCCCAAATCCAGAGCCCAAAGCAAGCTGCTCTGTGGAACCGACATTAGAATTCATAAGAAGTTTGACTTCTCCGGTAGTTTATTTTGAGTATTTATTTGGTACGTACAGTCAAGACATCTGAGTTCTTTCCCTCCACAATCATCCCCTCAAACTCTGATAAGGCGTCCTATAAAGATCAAAAAGGTAAGAAGTACTGTGGCAGCAGACATTCTCAAACTATCCAGATGCAGTCGCTTTGAAAGTTTCTATGTAGAGCAACATCCCACTTTTACAAAAATCCAGGATAATTAGCAATAATCATCACTTACATTGGGCTTCTCAGACTGAAGCGTCTTCCCTAAACAACTTGTTTGCTCCTCCTTCTCTGCAGTTGGGTTTAAACAGGGTTTGCCTGAAACAAACCACAGTAGGATCAAGCTTTATGCAAGTCTCAATAAAGAAGAATGTGCCAAATTTTTACCGGAAGTAAAAAAATCTTTACTGAAATCAAGTCTGTGGAACTTACCTTGTGTGTCAGTGGGAACTGGCCCTCCCATACACAGGCTGCCGGCAAAGTTGGAGGATTTTAAGGCTTCATTGTCTCTCACAAGTTCCTCTACTCGCTGCCGAAGTCTTGATGCCTCCGACTGAGACTCTTCCAGTAAATCACCTGCAAGATTCAGGAAGAGTGCATGTTTGTTCAACAGCACTTTGGTTGCAATGCCATTAAACAGGAAGATCTAACAATCTAACATGACGTGAAGGTGATGTGTTTTCAGTGAGTCACTAGAGAAGCTTTTAGTTCAGTCATATCTCTGGTATGCAAGATGGTCAGAGAAGATTATCATGTTTTACAACATGAGATCCAACTTGCCTCAGGATAGGTTAATGTTTCAGTTATAGAAACCACTGCGGAGAGCAATATATAAGAGATTTGGGGATGGGCTAAAAGTCAGTGACGCTCAGAGCGGCAACACCAAAGTGCAGGTGGATTTATCCCAAACTCCTGGCCATCAAAAAAGTACACTCTTTTGAAACCTACCTAAGCTCTTAAGTCCCTTCATCCGCTCCCTCAGTATGCTGTTCTCCTCCAGCAGCTGTCGATAGCTGCTTCCCCCAACGGCCTCTTCTCTGGCCTTGACTTCACTCCCACCTGGATCATAGATGCGATAAGGACCTTTCCCTTCCATTCTGTTGCTCACTTCCTACTCATGATCCTCTTAACTATGGAAGGAGGGCAAAGAATAAAAAAATGTGTCGATTCAATAAAAAGTCAAATTACAGGAAACTCGTCTGCAGAAAACAAGGCCATCATGTAATGATGATGTTAGGAATAAAATGTAAGAAGTTCAATAAACTATTATAACAAGGCAAGCAATTAAAACACTTGACAACAGGAAAAGAGTAAAGACTGCCTTATCTCTCAGCCCTTTGTTCTGCCCCAGAAATAATTTTGAAGCCATGGATCTCATTTAATCAAATGAACAGAAAATGTCCCAAAGTGCAGATCTAACAAGTATCCCCCACACATATTCTGCATGTTCTACAACCGGAGAATATTCTCCGCCTTTTTAAAACTTTCAATAACCAGTTGATGGAATTAAAGCTATTTGTAAATCCCGATGAAGAGAAGTGGGACGACTAGGGAAACAAACGGCAACAACACCATGATGCTCCCCTCCTTGAGTGAAACAAATGGCAAGAGTGAGTTAACGCTGGTGAAAGCTCAAAATGACAACTACAACGTTCATAACCGATGGAAAAAGACAAAAGCAGAGGAAAAAATATTAAACGTTTCGTAGATTCTTCGAACATAAATCTAATAAACAAACGAGAGTCAAATATAACACAATCCAACGAGTTAAATACATCTTGATTGGCTGCTGAAGGCTAATATTAGTTTTCGCTGTTGTCATGCAAATTGCTAGCAACATTTTTCGTTAGCTATCGGCTAGCTGACGCTAGATGACAGTGCGCGACGGAAAGCCACTGGCTCTTCTACATTCCCCCAACAAATATGTATACCAGCGCAATAAGTAAGCCGGGCTCTGCCGTTAAACGACAATAGAAAAAACAAATAGGTGTCTTTCAGCAGTGTACCTTTCAGCTAGCGGTGGCCTCTCGTCTCTCTTCCCAGACAGACATCTATTGCGGAAGTGGTCTACTTGAGTCTATGCCGTAACCTGGGAAATTCCACCTCAGAATGTTTGATGTAAACAGCGATGATTGACACCCTGGGTGAGCCAATCAGAGAGCAGCTCTGTGTCAGATGGGTGCTAGTAGGAGCGGTGACCGTAATGTAAACATACGTGAAAAATACACCACACCACTTACCTATTTATAATCAGAGATACGCACGTCTAATTTACAATAGTCTTTTAATTCGTAAGGAAATAATTTGAGATAAAAAGTTCTGTCACGATCTACAGAAATCAATGCGAGAAAAGTAAAGCACCAATTAAATAACCCGAAATGCTCTAGACAACAAACAACGTCAATTATCGTCATCTTATTCTTACCCTTTACGTCTCGAAAGTCACCCCTCTTAGTCCAGAAATAAATCACATTATTTTCACTGAATGACTTTTCCCCCTCATTGATAAATTCAGAGAAGGGGTGGTGGGGGTTTCTTTTGTTGCGTCAACATATTTCCTCGGAGCTACGAAGACAGTAATGTGTATATCTAAATGGACCTCCATTCTCACGACAGATGACAGTTTCGCAAGAGACTGGGATATTCACTATGTAATAAAAGTTTCAAGAAGTAAGTTACTTATTCTGTCTAATTGCCCTGGAATGTCGATCAATATTTTTGATGTCTTCTTTATCAATACTGGAAAACCTGACAGTAATGTAAAAATGTCAAATTTACATATGTCGAGTCTGACCGGTTATATGGTTTAGTTGATATTGCACAGATAAAAGTCTAGAATAACTTATGACTATGTATATCTCCCTTCAGTTTAGTTAAACCTAAAAACATTTTTTAATATAATGTGGGATGTTGTTTACTGTCTGATGATATTCTCTGGTATACAGGTCTGTGTAGAAGACATTTAGGATACGTGCATGGATTTGTGTTACATGTAATTTCTGACCTTGTCTTGCTTTTTATAGCTGCTGATATTGAGCACATAATCTTACAATGATTGTCAAAAATACACTTGCGCAGTTTCATTTCTTTTCAGAAAACTTCAACATCCTGTTGCTCATTTAAAGCAAAAATCAAAAGCAGACACTGTGTAGTTTAGATAATCAATCCAAAATATATGTTCTGATATTTTTTCCTCGAAGACATTACCTTTAAAAAACCACATTTCATGAAACTAAAAAGAAGATGAACACACTAATAAAGTCCAAAAAAATGCTGTATCAAATTTAAGTGTCAACAATCTTTGGATGTAATGTTTAACATCTGATATAATATGACTGAGTCTTTGTCATACAGGCCATGCTAAGAAAGAGCAACTAAAGACTGACATAATGTTCCTATTTCCAAACATTAAGTTCTTCACAACCTCCTCTGAAAATACTCAGGTGTATACATTTCTGCAACTCTACAAATAATGATCACAGCATCCATTTGAATAGATTTTTCTTGAATGTGAATGTGTGGCAGTTGACACGTGTTTGCTTTTTCAGGGACTTCAGAAAGTGAAAGGGGTCAGTTGTGTAATTTTAGAGCTGTACGAGTATATAGATTGTGCTTGACCTCTTTTTCCGAACTTTATTAGAAAGCCCCTTTAAAAAAACATTGTTGACTAATCATTCAGAGTAATAGTGATGACTTGTAAATTCTTATGAGTGGATTAGTTCCTGTCAAATTTTAGCTGAACTGGCCATTTTGCTTTTATCTGGAAGCCTGAACTTAATGTTACTGTCACTTCAACTTCACACAGATACAACTGCTCAGGGGTACGGTCCAAACAAAGTCCTTTGAGTTTCCAGCGGCCGAGCTTTTGATAAGTGTGTGAACATTATAGTTATCACAGGCAAAATCACACAATTGCTCCCATTTCAGACTAACACACTTCACAAAGGGATTTTAACATTAAAGTTCCTGAGGTACTATCAGCTAAAATATTGTGTAAATTCAAGAAACGCAATATGTAAATAGTATCAGCTATTCATGAAATGTTTCTCAATAAATTAGTCGGAATCAGGATCAAACCTTTAGTTTATCTCAGCTATTAGTGCTTCCTGTACATCTGTACTTCCTGGGATCTTGGAGTAGTAAATGGTGAAAAAAATCAGAATTACAAACAAACCAGTTTCATAATAGCTTTCAAAAGGTCATCCTCTTTAAATACCATCCTAAATAGTTGATTTTTCACATGTGCTTTCCCCCTTGTTTTGCTTAGGAAGAATGTCCAAATAAAATATACTTTCAGAATGTGATGTACTCTTAAAACTGCTTAATCAGACATGAATCTTCAATGAGAATTCTTTTAATAAGTACACAGCTTCTAACCCACATACTGCACACCAACATACACAGCTGCATGTTTCTCAGTGGGGGAAAAATTTGCTGGCAAAATGTGTCTCCCATAGAGCCACTCAATGGCTGCAGGGAAAGCCAACACACAGCTTGAGTGGCTCACATACAAAACTTGTTTTTTCCTCAGTCCTGAGCATGCCACTAAACACTCTGACAGTGTTTACTGGTGCGCAGTATTTCCACAGGCTGCTGTGACGTGCAGAAACAATAAACAGGGTGATGACTCGGAGCCTGCCAGCACAGAGCAAATAACACAAGCCTTGGGGGCACAGGAAATATCACCCATAGTTTATTCCTGCAGGGTAAAATGCCGCTCTCTTTGTTTTCTGCTCATGCCAAATTTTCACATTCATGTTGAAAGCGGTTTCCTCGTTACACAAAGACAGGAGGGAAGATGACATGTGAGAAAAAGAGAATATCACCAGACTGAAGCCCCACTGTGTCACAAGCACAGGGTATGTAGCTCACCCTGCTGAGGCACAGGGACAGTCCAGTTTCCACATTGAAGAAATTAGCAGCTGATAGTCATTAGCTTTATGGAACTTAATACAAAATGTTCTTTTGTTAGGCAAGCAATAACTTCCCCCGACTTCCGAAAGGTTTGAAACAGGGGCATTATGAATCCAGAGTCTTTAGCTATATAGAACTAAAAAAAATACTGTGAACATTTTATAGGCCTTCAATAGTTGTTACACATTTTTACCAGGAAGTCCAAATTTAAAATGATCCTAGTCCCAAGAAATCAGCATTCCAGTGTCAAGTATCTTCAACAAAATAAGTAGTGACAATATTGCTCTTTTTATAAAAGCTCTGACTTTTTCTGTGGTTGGTTTTTACATGCATAAACACATATCAAAATTAATTTTAATTAAGAATGAGAAGTTGAGCAGTATGCGATAATAGTGTTAAATACGTTTGTTTAGCTTAAAAGAGCACATTATTTATAATGTAGCTTTTGTAGGAATGCAACAAAATTAAAAATATATATTTTCACAATTACTTTTTCTACTGCATATTACAGAGAAAATGCACTTTTTTCTATAAAAATCATTAGGTATTTGAAACCACACCTGAACTTTAAAAGAAAGAAATGCCACAGACAATAAGACGAAAACATTCTGTAGCTACAGCTCAAATGTTAAAACAAACAAACAACAACTCACCCACATTCTGTCACGTCTGGTGTCTCGTCATGTCCTGATTACCAATTGTGTGCACCTGGGGTTCCCCTTCCTCGTGTGTTTAAATAGTCCTCGTTTCCCCTTGTCTGGTGCGGGGTCGTTCTAGTCTTCTTGTCTTGTCTCTTGTCCTTTCGTCCGTCGTCACCCCCACGCCAGGTTTGTTTCGTCCTAGTTCTGCCACAGCCACAGTCATAGTCACGTTTTGTCATAGTCTTGTTAATCTTTATTTTGTTACTTTGTCATAGTTTTTCCACAGTCTTGTTTGCTTGCTTTGATACTTTGCCCACCGTTTGCCACAGCTTTGTTTTGTACTTTGTCTGGACATTCACCCTGTTTTTGTTCAATAAACCTTGTTCCCCTCATCTCCGCACCTGAGTCCTCCCGTCAACACCCACCTCCCTGACACATTCAGCTTATGTCGGAGAAGCAAATGGTGAATGGGGGGAAGCAATTTCAATGCGAGACTTGGGGAATTCCCGTAACCCAAAGAAATGGCCTGATAATGCAGGCTCAGCCTGAACAGGACCCGGTGTGTGTCCAGCTGTGTGGCCTCCCGTCACTGAGTAACGCAGCCCATGACAACAGAACTATGTGCATTTGAATAATTTTTCATACAGGAGCTTGCAGCCCTTCAGCTGCACACATGCAAGCATACTGAGAAACGCGAATGATACAACAGAGCCACAAACGTGTAGCACATGATATCATGAGAGCAGTGTGGGGCTGAAAGCACACAGATGACATGTAATTAGTTTGTATCTGCACAGAATGACAGGCCTTGATGCAGAGCAGTACATGGCATATTTCAGGATCACTTTATGAATCCACAACGCTCATGGAAACTGTAGATGAAAAAGTTAAATGCTCAAAGAACTCCCTGAGAACACAACAGCTTTGAAATAATAAAACTAAAATCAGTCTAATTCAAGTTGCACAAAATGAGCATTGTCAGTCAGAAAGTTCCCCCTGCTATCAGAAGGGAAATTCAAGAACAGAGTGCAAATTGATATATTGATAGTGCTATTACAGCTATCTCTTAATCTCATGTAATTATCATCAAATAGAACAATTTCAGGTTGGGTGTGCCATTAAAACCAAAGTAACTGACTGCTGCAGACTTATTTGTTGCCTTGGATTTTGGCGCACTGCAGGGGATTTCCTCGCCACATACATCTTTTTTCTCCTTTCCTCTTTTAACTCAAATATCTCACAACAGCTGTGCTAGCACATATGCAAGCAACTAAGCAACGAGCAAAAGCAGAGACTGCTCTCTTGCATGTTCCTCTGGTGTAAACGGGCGTAAACGGGCAAAAGCGTGAAAGTGACACCATGTGAAATGAAGCAATGTGTAAATGCACAAAGGTCCTCTGCAGGCTTAATGTGTAACAAATGAAAAGGGGCAGAGCTTAAATGTGTACTTTTATTACTTTTGTTGTCTTCTTTTAGCTATTACCCAATAATGGCTTAAATATATTTTACTGTTATCATCAGCCTCTGTTTTTATAGGCTCACATTTCTATTATATGGGTATGGTTGAGTTCTTAAAGCAGAAGAGGCCTTAAATCGGGGAGGGAGTTTCCTCATTCGGTTTTCATTTTGCTCAAACAACAAATAAACGTAAGGCCTAACTCTGCCCACACAATATGCTGCAAAAGTAAAAATATTCTTCATAAAAACAGTACCGAATAACAACACGTGGTTTGTAGATCTTACTCTGCATGAGCAAAATATAAGACAGAAAGAGAAATGGCAAGATTTTTTTCTTTATATTCATTTAATTCAGGTTCATAGGATTCCTTAAAAATTACAGTACTGACTGGACAGGCAAAAAGCTGAGGGAACTCCTCCAGTACCCACCGAGCTATACACGTCTTTTGACACCGTGAAAAAAAGACAGATATCAGCTTATTGGAGAAAGTGAGTAGGTGTGAGAGAATAAAACTGGCTTGCTGACAGGGTGAGAGGTCACCATACAGTGGGTCATTAGGTTTGGCTGGAGAGTTGCAGCAACAAGGGACACTGGCAACACAAACTTTCCTTGAGCACCACTGTTTTACTGCGCGAACAGGCTCGTCTTATAGTCGCCAAATACTGTGAACAAAGCTCAAGAGGCGTGACAGGTTTAATCTTCTCCTCCGCAGAGAATCAGCAGGGTTTTACGGTAATCTCCTGAAGTATCACCCTAAATGTGGATGGAAAGCACAAAGCAAATTAACAGAAAATACCACCAATGTCTGCTGATATTTGGTCATCACCGAGACAGGAAAGCAGACTTCACTTCCAGCTTACACAACAGAAAAAAAGTAGAACAAAAGCACTAAAATCAACAAACCTAACAAAGGCACTAAGAGTGGAAAAACCCATCATATCAGTTGACACTTATACATCATGGTGTCTATAACAGGCTGAACAATAGAAAAAAGAGGAATAAGTTCTCATTTAGGGAATCAGCTGATTTATTAAGGTCTTCTACATGTGTGTGGGGGGTATTTACCCACAGTGCAATTAACAAAATAAAACCTTGTCAGCAAGACATGAGCTTCAGCAAGAACAGAAAACACAGTGTTAGAATAAGACATGAAAAACAGAAATATCTATGCAGGTAAAGAGAAGCCAGCAGGATGAGGGCCTTTGCTCCAGAGTTCTGGACTACGTCTCTGTTACATTTATGCACAGGCTTACAAGTGTCCACATCGTGGTTTCCTGGAAACCTCTTTTTAATTTCATACTGCTGGTCTTGCTCTACCCCCCAAAAAATGTGAATGACTCACAGTTGTACTTTTTGTTAGGTAGGTTCTAAAGAAAGACGTTTACACAAATCCCACTGCCCCACTTTTTAGCATTTGCTGAGGAAATCAACTACATGTGTGTGTTTTGTGGAATGCTTGCGAAGTAACTGCATCTCAATTGACCACGGACAACTGAACGCCTCCCCTCCCCTCTGACCCTCCACTTTGCTGACATCTACTCTTGAAATGCCATGTGTTCCTGCATGAGCTGGATAAAATCCAAACATGATTATTTTAGGCTGCATCTCATCATGTTATGGGCTTCTTTTGATATCCACAGACAGAAATAATCTTGACATCAGTCCAAATCTGCTCCGAAATCTTTAGTGCTCCTATCATTACTATCATTGTTGTTGTTGTTCTTGCAGTTTGAGCTACACATTTTTCCAAAAGGTGCTATTTTCTATACAATTTCTATTTCAATTGTGAGTTGATTCAGTTTGAATTCAAAGTTAACAAACTCTGATTTTTAGTTCACATGCATTTTTTTAAAACTATTTACAAACTTAATATACAATACAGAGCAACCGTTTCTGTTGCCTCACTAGATAATATTAATGCCAAAACAAATCCAGGGCATCCTGCTCGCTAGTCTGTATTGGTGTCATGGTGATTTAATCTGTAAATTATTATAGAACGGCTTTCATGAACTTCCTGTCTCAGCCTAGCGCACAGCAGATACAAGGAGGAAGTTAGGTTAGGGAAATTCCTAAACAGATGTGCAGTAGCCACAGACCCATAGTTCACCGCAGGAAGCTGTAGATTACCGTACCCCACCACTCCACCACAGCAGATGACGGCAGAGCCAGCTCACACAGAGCACGGCAGAGAGGCCGTGAGACAAAAACGCCACAGACATGCCAGACGAGAATAAAACAAACCAAACAGGGGTGTTAATAAGCAGAGACTCTTGACTTACGATCATGGTTTCTACCTGGATGAATTCATGGAGGGAGGCATCTTGAGCGTCCTTGAACTCTTTACGAATGTTGAACAGGTCGACCTCGCTGCGGGACACCATGATGCGGATGAGCGCCCTGTCGTCTGTACCAAGACCCTGCAGAGGAGAGCGGCCCTTCATTAGCCTGTGGAGGGTTTTGCAACAGCAGCAGCCAGCTGCAGGTTCCACCTCAGCACATATTGTCCCAGAGAGCAGTGGGAGACAGCCAGTACCTTCATCGCTTTGTACAAACGCTCTGCAAAGTAAGATGGCTGGTTCTTCACACTGCAAACTGAAAAGGAAAGAGAGGCACAGGCAGGTCTCAGAGGGAGTCCACTAATAGATGATGTCACACAGAATCACCCGAGAAAGGTCAAAGGCTGTAAAGCTGAAGCACAAAGGAGCCCGTACCTATGGCGTAAAAGGCGTTTTTCACATCTCCAGACATTTCCTTCTTGATAATCTGCTCAATGTCTTTGTTGGTGAATCTCACAAACTCTTGGAACACTGTCAGACATCAAAAGACAGGCCTGTTATTGGAAACTGAGCTGAATCAGGTTTTCGTGGTAGAGGTTCATACAGATTTCTCCTCCTGTGATAACAGCGAAGCATCTGCTTTGACTTTCACCTCTCCTGAGATGGGGGAAGCTCCTGGTGCAAAGGATGCTCATGAATTTCATCTCCATCTCGTCAGACTCGGCGTTGCAAGCGTCAGCAAGTTCCTGAAAACAGGGGCAAATGTTTAATTCTAGTCTGTGGTTCTGTATTTTTAGGACCTCACACCAGGGGTGGGGCACAAAATCACCTGTGCATCAGCATTGGCTCTTTCCACGTCTGCAGGGCCTTCCTCTCTTGCGCCCTAACCATGACAGAGAGAGATGAATGTCAAACCCGGAGTTGCACAACTCTGATCAATTGCAAAACTGCAGACATGATTTGTTCCATTAAAAGTCGTGTCAACACATTCGGAGAGAATAATGTGCTGGTGATCTCGCCACAGCAGCTGACTCACCGAAGTGGGTGGGCATGAAAATTAAACACCAAGTTCTCACGAAGATGATGATGAGGGTTACCTGCACAAGAGAAACAAGGATGCGACAGAAGTGGCCCGACGTGTCTGACTGGATGGCTTCTTCCAGGGACTTCTTATACGCTGTAAAAGGACAGTGCACGGGTGTGTCGGAAAAGGTCTAAAGGAACAAGAACATTTTGATGTCAAATCCTGTGTTTTGGAGGGCAAACTCACCATCCTGATAGGCAGCGTTCATGGCTTGTATTTCTTCATTGCTCCTGGTCACAAGGATCTCGATCAGAGCATGTTCATCCGTCCCAGCCCCCTTTAAAAGCAAAGAGAAGCATCATCAAAAAGAATGACGTCAGCTAAAATAAAACCATAGCAGCCACTTGGGATGAGGGGTACATGTAGACCAATGTCCTTGTTTTGCTAATTTGGTGGCTAATGTTAAGCCTTTGCAATCCCATGACAATCGCCTGAAAATCTGAACGGATATGACTTGTGAAATAAAAGAAGAAAATAGGTCGTGACCCAGTTCAGTTGACTATTTAAAGCTAAATAACAGATTGCACCTACTTCATTATCAAATTTTCTGCTTAGAAATGTAAGCTAGGGACATACGGCCGTATTTTCCATGTAACAATTAAGAATGATCCCTGTGTGTAACACGGAAAGTACAACACTGAGTTCATGACGAGTTAAAAATAGAACAAACTGATAATCAAATATTTCCTGAGTAAATGTGTTGCATCCAAACACCAGCTCAGCTCCACATTGCAATTCAGGCTTGGGAAAGAATTAAAGTGGTCATGTTATAGTGTCTCTGCGTATTTTGGAGCACTTTGAGCAAGTAAATGAGAGATCAAATCCAAAATATAATAGCTGTGGGATTCCATGTCGGACTAGACCTTTCAGTGAGGGGCAGCCTCAAAGAGACTGGTGCTAAGAGCCCATATCAGGCAGAGGGAGGCGAGCATTGGTGCTGCAGTGTCCCTAATCTGTCTTTTTTTTTTTACGAATGAATGTTTATAAATGGCAAAGCAGACATACATTAAATGGTCATTGGTAAATATGTGTATAATCGAATGAAATGATCAGATGTTAGCTACTGCTGCCCTACCTCCATTGCCTTTCTCATCATTTTGGCATCAAACTCAGCAGGAGTCAACATGAGGGCAATGACCAGCCTCTCTAAGTTCTTTGACAGTTCAGACTTCAGATCCTTCATCAGGTCCTGTTTAGGTGATCAGACACAGTGAGGTATCAGGACACTGACCACACAACTTTTTTTTAGAAACAGATCAGAGCATTTGAGAAAAGGTTACACATCAAATTAACAAAGAAGGCTAAGAAATAGATATGCATATTTGGTCATTTCCATTCATCTTCTGGGGTTTGTCTCTCTCTCACCCTCCCCAGCAGGGACTTGAAGGACTGCCTGATCTCTTGCCTCTGGCTGTTGGATCTGTGGGCAACGATGTCAATGATTGCATCTTCGTCTGTTCCTGTGATCGAGATATAGAGAACATAAATCGGAAAAGTCCATACATCTTAGCCAATTTCAACTTAGATTATTTAAAGGAGCGCATACCGAATCCCTTCATAGCTTTCCTCAGCGCTTGTGCATCAGTGGCAGGGTCAAAATTGGATGCAGGGCGGACTGTAGGCCTTAGCTGAGGTGGTGGAAAAAACAATATTAAAGCAACAGCAGTCAGTACTCACTTTTTCGCTCAGACATTATGTTAATTTTAAGAAAAATGTTTATTCTCACACAATTATTGTTGAATAAAAAGCACCAAATTGGTACGCTTAAAGCGGAAAACTTAGAGGTGAGCAGCGCATGCAAAGTGTAGTTTTCCTCATAAATTTCTTCTTCAAAGATTACTGAATTGTTTCCAACTGAAACAGCACCCTAAGCTTTATGATAATTATCCGTTGACATCAGAGGGGGCGGTTGCCCACGTGAAGTTAGAATTCAGGACACCACCAACAATGGATAGGTTGGTAGGCTGGGAAAGTGCTGGGCTGTATGAAGCGTTAGTGAGACGGCCTTTTGTTGACAACAATGCTGAGACCTTTCTGACATTCACCCTCCACGTTACAGCGCTCCACGAATGGAGGTTTGGCGAGAGGGTTGCAACAAAAACGATTTGTATTTCGGTGAAAAGCATTCTGATCGGATCCAGAGTTAACAAAGCCCTCACTGTGCGGATGTTATCAGCGCAAGCTTGTTGCACTGCCAGAAGCACATCATTGTGGGGCCAAGCAGATAATTGAGTTTCCAGGCACTGCCAAGCCAAACATGCAAGGACACATCTAAAGTGGGAGCGGATGAGACCCAAACCTGCACTTTGGTCATGGAACTTAATTCCCACATCTTGTAGGCTATCTGAGCAGCTTCGGGGAAGAACTCTCCGGCTAAGCTGTAATGATCAGTTCGACACAACACAGCACACTCAGCAAAGCACAAAAACCTCAAGCGTGGGTACACTTCTAGGAAGAAGAATGAGCTTTAAAACCCCCTACACAAGTTTGCTTTTAATGTGAGGCAATACTCAGATATCAGCTCCATCAACTAGTTTTCATCTCTGAGGCTCTACCATGAAAACCAGCTACACCTGTTGTATCTGCGACTTGGCCCTCTATTGCCCCCAACTGGTTGTTTGTGAAGCCTGCAGCCTCCACTCTTACTTACTCATCATCCCCTCCACACAGGCTAAGCAGGGTCCTCTTGTAATCTCCTGATGTGTCATCCTGAAAAACACAGGGGGGAATATACAAAGTCATGCGATCCGGATTCTGGCAGCATGTAATACCTGAAGGCTTTTCCTCTCACCTTTATCATGTTGTAAAGGGACTTCTCGTATCTGAGACGGAAACACTCCCGAATGTCCAACATGTCGATTTCGGAGCGGGAAATCATGATCCGAATCAAAGTGTTGTCAGCTGTACCCAGGCCCTGGAAAGGCAACAGTTGGCCACCGTGAGTATTCCTAATTCACAGCAGGCAGTCTTGCTAGCAAAAACAATGTTAGCCACAGTGTGCTTATGAGGTCTCTGTGGTTACCTTCATTGACTTGTAAAGACGCTTGGCAAAGAACATAGGGACGCTCCTTATACACTGAACTGTAAGAGAGACAGAAATTAGCACCGTGCGTAGACACAGCTTCACAGATCATGAGTGGATGTAAACGGGTCCTTTTGGTGTGTTTCTTACCAACAGCCAGCATCAACCTCTCAAAGTCCCCAGATAACTCATTCTTAATGCTGTCCTCGATTGACGTCTCGTTCACCTTCTCATACTGGTCAAATACTAAAGAATCAGAAGATAACATGGCATTTCAAGACTCTGCATCCTCTAAGGCTAGAATGCAAACTAATCTTAAGTTTGTCTGTAAACCCCAAACAGAAAGTCCCAGTCCTCAGAGGACTCAAACTGGGAACCCTCCCCCATCTGTGTAGTCTGAATTTACTTCTTCCTCTTTGTTCAGTGAGCTGTTTCCTAAACCTTCTGTGATTTTCTGTGAAAGAAATAACTTGTTCTGCTCCATCAGCGCCTTTATTTTCCGCTAATAAAGCTTCAAAGACCATCTGCCAGTTTTCACCAATCTCAGTACGTCTATATTTGGATTCCAACATGAGTTCAACTCAAATTGTGACAAAGGCTAGCTGAACACACATTAGCACAAAAGTGTTAGTGTTTAAAAGAATTTCCAAAGCTCCACTTCGCTGATTGCTCTGAAGGCATCGCTGGCTGCGCAGATGCCTCAGATGCCTCACCGTTGTGCTAATCTCCCTGAGAGTTGTGCTTACCCATGCGGAGGTGGGTCATACTGCGGTTTCCCAGAATCATGATAAATTTGGCCTCGTCGGTCCCCCACTGCGCCTCCCCAGCTTCATACAGGTCCTACACAGGAGGGCGCAAATTTGGATAAGATAAGGCAGGAAAATAAACTACCTGTAGCAAATTTAGGAACAAACCCTGAATCAGACATTGTTGACATTGTTGGGCAGAGGACACATTAAAGTTCTTTACATGAGTGAAAGTAACAAATATCGTAAGAATGACAGTTCTGGAGTTAAAAAGTAACTTAAAATACTTTGAGACTGAGAATTGAAGGGATGGAAACTAGCATTTGGCCTTACATGTACCTTTCTTAAAGAGAGAAAGAAAGAAAGAAAGAAAGAAAGAAAGAAAGAAAGAAAGAAAGA